GATCCTTGATAGAGAGGGAGAACAATGTGGAACAAAACTCAAAATCATTTGGAGGAAAAAAAAGGGAGGGGGATCAGGTTTGCTGGCCTGATAGAGCCTGGTGGAAGCACTGAGACTATGGCCCCTAGCTGCCCTTCGGGTCTGGAATTGAACCCACACCTGTGGTTTCCAGCCAAACAGTTCAGGCATGTGAGTTAAACATTTACCTCAAGTAGACACAAGCCCTGGAGAGAACAATCATGGAAGAAGGAAGGGCTGCTTATGCACAGGGAGATAGCTCAGGGCACAGGAGTGCATGGAGGGATGGACATTGGGAAGAGGTACCTATGGGGAGGAAGGGGGAGGGGAGCTGATGCATTGTGGTAAACTGTGGTCAATGTCATGAGACAAAGTGTATGTGAACTGCAGTAAATTTGCTCTGTAAATCTTCACCCATATCACACACACACACACACACACACAAAGTGGGCACGAGGCTTGGGGCTCCCAGGCCTGGGCTTGGGGGTTCCCTCTGCAGTGTCTTTGGTAAAGGACACGGTGTGGGACCGGGGAATGAGGAGAGGGTGGCACCCAGACCCTCCTCTGGTCTTGCAGAGCCTGAGCCAAAGAAGGCAGGAGCTCATGCAGGGTCACACTGAGTCAGCGCCCAGGCTGCACTTGAACCCAAGGCCCCACTTCCCACTCCAAACCAAAAAACCAAACTCACTGCTGTCAAGTCGATTTGACTCATAGCGAGCCCTCCTCAGGTTTCCGAAGCAGTATTTCTACAGAAGTAGATTGCTCATTCTTCCTTCCAAGTAATGGCTGGTGGATTTGAACCACCAGCCTTCTGGTTAGCAGTCAAATGCCCTAGGCACCTACGCCACCAGAGCTCCCAATGCATCACCAAACCCACCCTAACCCATTGCCATGGAGTCCAACTGACTCACAGCCCCCCTAGAGGACAGAGTGGAACTGCCCCAGAGGGTGTCCAAGGCTGTCAATCTTCAAGGAAGCAAAGTCCAAACCAAACCCAGTGCCATGGACCCAATTCCCAATCACAGCAACCACCAGGGTGGATTTCATATCTTGGGTCCCTTGGTGCCATGATCCGGCTACACACATCTTCTGCAAGATCAGACACATGCCCTTCTCCGAGCAACCCTGGGGTCACATGGAGCCCTAACCCCAGGCCAGGGTCTGCTCTGGGGACATTTTCTGGGAAGAGCTGCGTTATCACCGCACAGCTGCCTCTCCGAGAGGCGCACCATACCAGCACTGGGAGAGGAGCAAAACCAGGAACTGAGCCGGCCAAGGCGCTCAGGCTCTCGCAGGCAGAGTTAGAGACGCTGTGGCTCGCTGCCCACATCCCCAGAGAGCCAGGACTGTGCGCCCACGTCACCCACCAGGGGAAGCTGTGGCCCAGGGACTAGGAAACGCGGGGAGCGGGGACTGGCCCGTTCCACATGTGGGAGGGCGCACCCCCAACTTTCCCTTCCATTCTGCCATCCTCTCTGGGACGAGCGCACTGTCACTAATGAGAGTCACAGACATCCCAGAGTCACGGGCCTATCAGTCACTCACACTTCAGTGTGAATCAGCACCCACAGCCGGCTCTTCTCCACCTTTGTGAGTCCCGCTGAGGAATTATTGGCAGGAGCTGGGCGCAAATCCTGCGCCAGGCCCTGCCGAGGCGCCGTCGGATACGGGGCATAATGAGGACTTCGGCCATCTGCAAGCCCCAGGGCCCGGGAAAGCGCGGTCAGAGGAGCCGCAAGGACGCGGAGACCGACGCGACGCCACCGCCCCCACCCAAGACCTCGGGTTGTGAACCCCGCTCCCGCGCGGTCCGCGCGTTTCCTCCGGCAGTGCCCGCCGTGCCCGCTTCGGCACCGCCAAGCCCTGCTCGCGGCCAGTCACGGCACTGAGGCCTGGGGCCAGCCGGCCAGGGGACGCGATCCCGCCCTGCCACGGCGCCCTACCTGGCCGAGTCCGCTCCCGGCGCGCGAGCACTCCGTCCGGCCGCGGCTCCCCGCTGGGCCTCCGG